TAATATAATATAATATAATTTCATATAATATAATATTATATTATATTATATAATATTATATTTTAATTAGCATATATATGGGATAAACCCTGAACCTTCTAAACCCTATAAGCCCTGAACCTATAAAACCCTCAGCCCTAAACCTTAAAACCATGTACATAATAAACGATGTGGATGACAGAGATGATGATACTGGATGATGATAATCTCATGAGGGTCGTTCTGGCAAAGGCATTGAGGTGTTGGGGTATAGGGTCTTCCGTGGGGTTGGGGTTTCTCCATATAATGATCCTGGATGATGGTAATATGATGAACCCTACACCATATATAACCCTGGGCCCAAGAGCCGGCCTGTGAGTGCTGCCCGGCTGAAGCGGCGAGGATGCCTGTCGTCACCGAACCGCATGTTACCAGATATATTCAATTCTCTAGGACAAGGGTTGAGGGTTTACGGGTTTAAGGGTTTAGGGCAGGTTTAGGGTTTAGGGTTTAAGGGTTTAGGGTTTAAGGGTTTAGGGTTCAGGTTATAATATTATGGGCTTATAGGGTTCAGGCTGTAAGGGTTTCAGCACTCACACTCGGACTTACCTTGGCGAGGTTCCTGCTGTAAGTGTTTGGGGTTTAGGGTTAAGGGGTTCTTGTTTCCAAGGTTATGTCCTGAACCCCAGGCACAGCCAGAATCCCAAAATCTCACCCCGAAACCCTGCCTACAATGTCTCTAAGGGAGCTGATGAAGCAGATCACGACCTACTGCCTCAAGTTCCCACGAACCCTGACGAGGCCAGGGCCCGGTGCAATAAACCTTATAAGCCCCAACCCTATCCAATCTCAATCTCATGGCAGGCCCTGGAAGTACAATGCCAGTGTGGTGGAATACTTCGTGGAGTTGGAGAGTACATCGAAAATCAAGAGGAGCGAGATCGACAGGCTGCTAGAGGAGACGCAGGAGGCCAGGATTGTACACAATTTTATGTATATAAAGAAACCTTATAACCCTGGAAGACCCTTACCCTGGACCCAAGAGCCGGCCTTGGATGCTGGCCGTCTCGTGGCAGCGCAGATGCCTGTCGACCGAACCGCATGTTACCTTATATATACTGTATGTATCAATATAAAAAACTATAATGTATATATATAAATGCATGTATATATTATATATATACAGTCTATGTTGTATTGGGTTAAGGAGCTTTGGGTTTTTAGGGTTGAGGTGGTTGAGGTATATATTATTATATGTTTTATATTATAATTTGCTCATCCCCAACCCTATTCAAACCCGACCTATAACCTTAGCCGGATCTCGAGGTCGATCTCGCTAGACTGTCCGTAATTCATGGATGGGAAATATGTGTCTTTTTCCTTTATCTGGTTTACGGTGTTTAGGGGCGACTCTTCCTGAATCCGCTCTACTTACTTACCTACCTACCTTCCTACCTACCTACCCACCTACCCACGACTTCAGGGTTAGGGCTTTAGGGTCTGGGATCGGGTTTGTATGGTTGGGGCGATATAACTGCAAGACTATATCTATATTATAATATAATTTATATATATAGGGTGGATGGGGTTTCTAGGGTAGGGGCTAGGGTTTAAAGATGATAGTTGCAAATATTTAGAAAGGTTTGGGTATTAGGGTGTGGGCCCGGGTTTGTTCATCCCCTGATCCACAGGAAAATGCTGCCTCGTCCCACTTGGCCATCGATGTGAAGTCCAAGGCAGCCTTCAAGGACGAGGGAGATGAGGTGCCGACAGAAAATGCTGAGAGCGCCAAGGTGGGAGATATAGGGTGAAGGGTTCAGGGTGTAGGGTTTAGGGGCTTGGGGTTTAGGGTTATAATAATCTGCCTATTGTTCCTACAAGGTGAAGGAGGAGGTGAAGTACTATGCGGATGCTCTGCAAGGGAAAATATCCTCGATCACCAAAATGACGACCCAGCTCGGGGCCCCCTACAACCCCAAGCCGGATGAAGCTACGGCTGAGTAACTCGTCCTACACAGAATGCGTGCACATGTTTGTGTGTGATCACTCTTGCCCGGCCGAGGTTGGTCAAGGAGCTTGATGAGATTCACAGCAAGTTGAATGCAGCCTATGGAACATTGGCTGGCATACTCACGAAGCTAGAGATGGATCGCATGGACTCTGCGGGGCTCAAGAGGCAGGCTCCTATTCAGCATTCAATATGCACATGGACACATCCTGCAACGTGTGCATAGTTGTGCTCCGAAGTGTTTTGTGCCTGCAGTTTGAAGCTGGACTTTTGCAAGCTTCGGGAGTCTGTGGCCGAGCCGCCTCTTAGCTAATGATTCTGTGCTGTTGTCATTCTTAGGTTGCATGCATGCTACTATTAGCTACCATGCACTCAGATGTGCCGACCTGCTGACGAAAGACAGCAGGTTCAAGCTTCTTGGCTTCAGGTAACTCTGCAGATTCAGCTTCACATCCTCATATGCTTTCCTATAAGGATGCTGATGAAGAATGTGAACCAGCTTCGCAAGTCCCTGAAGGCCGATCCGAATGCCGATGAAAATGAGGAGCCCGAGGTGACCACACGCCCCCGGAGGCGCAAAGGCAAGGGCAAACCGGCTGCTGCCGGAACTACCCCTGTAAAAACCCCAGCTAGGCGTGTTCGCCAGAAGCAGGCATCGAAGTAGGCAGCCACAGCGAGTGGCTTTTTGGCCGAAAAGATGGTATGGTAGGGGTGTCGGTTTTCCAATGCCCAGCTTGCTCGTTGTTTCATCATGTTGAAGACAGAGCATTTAAAGCTTTTGCTCGATTGCTGGGGCGATCGAGTGAACGAGGACTCGCTCGAGGCTGCACTATATGCACTGCAGAAGAAGCCTATATGATTTCATGTATGCAGCCCCAACCAGGCAACATCAGTGTTCCTGTATAGTACTTCTAGAAAGATCAATGTACAGTCCCAAGATTTGTAAACTCTGTAAAGCCGTTACATATAAAATATAGAAATTTATATACAATAAATTATCTTATATAGATTATGCATATATACCCTAGCCAGAAAACCCTAAGCCCCTGCCTAAAGACCCTGAACCCACAAGCCTTCGAGCGAATGCCACTGCATAGCGCCCAGTCGCAGCAGGAACCTCCAGATGGCAAAGATCTTTCTTGGCCTCTATACATATTTGGGTACAGTTGCCTGGAGGGTGTAGGGCTATAGGAATCTATGAGGATGGTTCATAGCAGAGTAGGCCTCTGAGGACCACGAACCCCGAATTAAGGAAATCTTAAACTATATTAGTGTTACTATATGAATGAATATATATATATATATTTATATATTATGTATACATATTATATATATGTATATATTATAATTATATATATATATATCTATAGAACTTTCCCTACTGCAGTTTCTGCCCGAAGAGCGCGAAGGCAATTATTCTTGAAGTCCAAAGATGCTACAAGGGGAAGTCGATAGAAGCAAAAACGATTCCTTGTAAATATAGAAGTTGGGCCTTTAGGGATTTAGGGGTGTGGAATGCTAGAGGTTACAGGTGAGGTGAGTGTGAGGGTATGTGCATCCCTCGTAGACTTACGAAACAGGAAGATAGTGTAGCACATGTGTATGAGAAATCCCAAGCCCTATCCTCATAATATATTGCTTCGAAGTTATGTGTTGTTAATCCTATAATATGTTTTATAACCCCTGAAACCTAAGAAGCCCCAAGACCCTAACCGGCATCGACATTGCATGCCCGATGCATCAATCCCGGGCCCCCCAGCCGTCGACATAAACGGCCGTCGGCCGTCTTCAGTGGATTCCACGGGCTGTATTCCTGAGAGATATGGTCTTGGTTCTATATTATATATATAATTTTTTATAATATATGGGTATCTAGTGCAATGGGCTTAAGTGTGGAGGCTTTTAGGGTCTGATATATATATATATAATATGGGATTGAGGGTTTAGGGTTTAGGGTTTAGGGGTTTAGGGTACTATGTGAAGACCACAGGAGCCCCGAACGAGCAAGTCGTCATCCCCACACAGGATCCCTATAAGGATAAACCTCTACATAACCTTATCCCTTCCCAAGTGCAGATAGAGACACCTGCCGAAGTCCAAATTCACGGTTTAGGGTTTAGGGCTTATAGGGTTTAGAGTCCTACTGCAGATACAGACACCACTAAGGCAGTGCTCAGCCAAGTGCTCCGAAGTCCAAATTTAACTTGTCAGATCCGAAGTCGATGCCTTTGCGAAGAAAAAAAATCGAGTCTTTGAACCTTATGAGAGTTTAGGGGTTGAGGGGTCCAGAATGTCGGGTTTCCGGTCAGGTGTGTCTGAGTCAGCAAGGTATACTATAGATGTTCTAATGGCCTTATTGTTCAATGTGCAATTCCACAGGGCTGCTGTCTTCAACCCGATTGCATGTGTCCAATGGTGGAATCGTGCCCATCTTCTGATGCTCGGGAAAGTCTTGCACTCCGACAACCACGTCGTTCCCGTTTTCAGAATTTCCAACAAGTACCGGCATCAGTCCATCGTGTTGCGGCTTGTCTGGCAGATTTAATCCTCGGGGTTCTTGCCACATGTGATTTCGGTCCGTGCAAGCTTGCAGAAGCAGCTGCTGGACAGTTCCATGCCACCCTGTCTTGTCTGTGTTGTCCTCCGTAGCCTCCACTGCAAAGCCGGTCTGTCTCTAAAGTGCCCTGAACTCAGAAATCGATGCCCTGAAGCCTAAACAGCAGACTCCCAAACAATAGTCGGATCCATCCTACTTGACATTGCAGACCCAGCACGAATCCCGATCCCGGGATTAATCATTAGGATATCCCTGTATACACCCTAAAGCCCTAAACCCGAAAACCCTACAACCCGAAAGGGACCCGTGTCACTTAAGGCCTGGATGTCGGATCTGTCTTGAGGGGCCGAGGGTATTAGGCTTTCGGGTTTAAGGTTTATAGGGTTCACCGAAACACCTGAATGTGACATCGACGTATAATCCCTAGACCGCCAAACCCATGTATATTCCCTTGCAAGTTTAACCTCTTGCACACCCTACACCCCGAAACCCCTAGAACTGAAAACCCTCTCCCTTGCAAACCTCTTGCACACCCTACACCCCGAAATCCCTATATAGACATATACTCTATATAAATAAATATATATATATATATTTCCCTTGCAAAGCCTCTTGCAGACCCTAGAAGCCGAAACCCCTAAAGTTGAAAACCCCGTATAACCCTACACCCCAAAACCAATCAACATATATTCGCTTGCAAAGCCTCTTGCACACCCTACAAGCCGAAACCCCTAAAGTTGAAAACCCCATATAAACCCTACACCCCAGAACCCCTGAACATCCTAAAGCCATGCCAGGCACGTCGAAGACTGCCAGGTCTCTGGCTGGAGACGTGGGGCGCGGCCAGCCGGCTCGTGGTGCCTTGCGAACGGCTCGAAACGTGGTGGAGGACTTCGGGACTGGAAGATGCCACGTCTTGGATAAGCTTAGCAAGGCCTCCGAGAAAAACTCGGAACTTTGTTTGCATGGGTGTTTAAGGGGTTCTTCGTTGGGTCGGATTAGAAGGCTTCAATATTCGATCGATATTATAGTTTGAACAAGTTTGGGGGTCCGTATGCTTGCCTTTTGCTATAGATGTAAGGAAGAGGCGGTGCATCGCCATATGGAGGAGCTGCATCTGGATGTGCAGATATCACAAGCTAGAGTGGGCGAGGGCGAGCACCCTGTGCTGTATCCTACAAGTTGGATCAAAGCCATAGATCGGTTTTCCTTGTGGGATACTTTGTTTGGCACGGATGACTTTGCTGCTGGGCAGAATATGCTTGAAGACTTCTGGGATAAGTTTTCGCGTATTCATAGCGACTTCGAGGGCCTGCAGCAGGGAATCGATGCCAGACGATTGGTGCCAATTTACATCCATGGCGACGAAGGCCAACACTACAAAAAAAATGCAGTGATGGTACTGCAGGTTCAAAGTGTTCTAGGCCGTGGCACCAGCCGTCTGTCTGAAGCTCGTCAGGGCGATGTTTTTGGGAACGAGCAGGGCTACTATGTCAACCAAAAGGGTGTGACACTTCGGACGAGACTGTTGTTCTCGGTGATGCCGAAGGAATCTCGGCGCTTAAAAGTTTGTAACCTTGTTTTGCAATGATCTCTACAATGAGTAATCCCAAGAAAACGACCCCGAAGCCAATCCAAAGCACTATCTGAGATCGACCGGTACCTATATGCTCTAGTTTAGGGTTTTCGATTCCCATGAACCACTACTGTTGGGCCCAGGAGCAGTATGCCCAGTCTGCTCAGACCCTGGAAGACCTCTGCGAGCGCCTGTGCGAAGACTTGAAGTCTGCTTTTTTGGATGGGGTCCAGCTGATGGATGGCTCCAAGCTGCATCTGTGCCCCATAGGGGTTAAGGGAGACTGGCCCTTTCTTGCATCCCGGCTGCTTGCAGGGCTTGAATGCATAATCTAGAATGTTATGGCCTTTTGTGGATTCTTAGGTTCGGCTTCCTTGTACAAGCAAGTCTGTAAGAATCTATTGCCAGCTAAGATCACGGCTGGGGGGCTTACGAGAAACTTCCGACGTGGGCCCAAGTCTGCCAAGCAAGGGAAGACAGCAGCTGCTGGCATATGCCACCTATGCAAGGCTGGCCAGGACGGTTATCCCTTCGAGGACATGCAACCTGGTGCCAAGCATGAGTCCCTGCATGATTTGTTTCTAGTTTATTGAGGGTTTTATATATGGAGAGTCTTGAAGAGCTTGCAGTGGCAACATTATAGGTCGATCGAGCTTTTAGGGTTTCTGGTTTATGGGCTCATCCATACCACAGTATAATACGGATAGGGTAGATCGATCTACATAAAGACATGATCTGGGTTTTGGCTTTCCAGGGCTTTGTGGAGTATAGGTCCGACTGCCCGGCCTTCCTGGAGACCATGGGCATGGACGAGATGCCTTGGGAGACAGAGTCGCCCTTCACTCGCTTGCTGCCCCAGTTTGCAGACAAACCAAGCTACTTCAAGCCGGACCCCTGGCACACGGTGAACCTGGGGACTGGCAAATCCTGGGTGGCCAGCTGTCTCGTTCTTTTGCTTCCGCTATTTGCTGGCAACAATATTTCTGTGCGCCTCGAAGCTATGTCTGCGGCATACTACAATTTCTGCACTACATCCGCCACCCGGAAAGATTCAGCAAATCGGCTTTGCCTGTCTAGGGCTGCTATATAAGAGTTATAATTAATTTGTATATCCTTGCATACTTTAGCACTGAGGTCCCCCGAAAGGTGAAGTTCATTACCAACGGTATTACAACAGAACTTCTGGGCTGGATGTCTGTTCAGGATTGCCCCGAGGGCCATTGGAACAAGGGGGCTCTGACAACCACCCTGAGCCAATTCATTGAGCATGTCTGCTCAGCTCATGGTCTGGAGGCCTCTGGGGATGAGAAGCTTCGTTTGGTGGCATCTGGCACACGAGCCCTGAACTCGTTCATGAGGAACCTTTACGTCTGCCCGTTTTGGTTATCTCGTGATTCTAAGAATCAGGTCGTGTCTGCTGGCATGCACCATCTACGAGCTTGTGCTCGTCTGGCCCTTCTGTGTTACCAGGCTGGAACTGAACGGTTTCCACTGACGCCGAAGCACCATGCTCTGTGGCATATCATTCAGGTGCTGTCTTGGCAAAGTGACATGGGAGGCGGATGGGCGATGAATCCTGTCATAGAGACATGCGCCCAAGATGAGGACATGGTGGGGCGCATCGCAAGAGTTTGCAGGTCTGTTTCGCCGCGACTTACAGCACTGCGCACGATTCAGCGATATCTTCTACAATGCCACGAAGTTTTTTTTGCTACAACAGGTACATGAACGATCTTTTCTGGTACCTGGTACAGTGGCTTTTCTGGTATATCTGGTACAATGGCCTTTCTGGTATATATCTGGTACAGTGGCTTTTCTGGTATATCTGGTACAATGGCTTTTCTTGTATATCTGGTACAATGGCCTTTCTGGTATATCTGGTACAATGGCTTTTCTGGTATATCTGGTACAATGGCTTTTCTGCTATATCTGGTACCTGGTACAATGGCTTTTCTGGGTACAATGAAGGAGGCCACCCTCTGTTCTGGAACAGTAGTTGCCGAGACCGCAGAAGCTGAGAGCGCGACTCAGCCGTGTCATCCGGCAAAGAGCATGAGCGGCTCCACGAGTTCAAGGGATTTTGTGGAGGTTTAAATCCCTAAACCCTATAGGACCCTTAAACCCAAATATATGCGATATCCAAGAATACAGAGCTAGAAAGCCCACCCGAGCACCCAAGATGGCACAAGATGCCAAACATGGCTACTCTAGGTATATATATATATATAGGATAAGGGTTTGGGGTTTATAGGATAGGCTTTATAGGGTTTAGGGTTTATTAGGGAGGGTTTTTAGGGTTTGGGTTCAGAACGGGCCGCAGAAGCGGCGGAGGCCGACGAGGCCGGCGATAGTCCCCGAAGCTGAAGACCCGAATTATTAATACCTAAACCCACTAAGCACTCGAGACCCACAAAACCCCCGCATATTCTTTCAGCTCGGATCTATATTATAATCAACGGAGACTATATTAGATAGGAAGTCTGCAAGTAGGAGCTAGAAAACCAGATATTCCTAACCCTGATCTTGGAACCCGTATACCCGCTTATAAATAACGAAGCTCGCTCACCCAGACTACCAGCCGCAACAACCCTAGCAAACCCAATCAACCCTGTGCTCGAGTAGGGCACTATAAACCCTAAACCCGAAAACCCTGTATCGGGGGCAAAGAGCTTCTTTCGGGCTCTGGTTTGGGCAAAGGACTTATAAGTTTCGGGCATTACTTGGAGGTTGATGGGCAGTTATATACATATAGTGTGTTATAAGTCCCCTAATATGGCTTATCATATAGTTACCTATATATTTATAATCTATATATGTATATAACTACCCATGAACCTCTAAGTAGGGATCATGCAGGGGCTCGGCAGTGGGCATAAGGGGTGTTCGGGCTTTTGGTCAAAGGGATTTGTGTTTCGGAGATTTGAAAGGGCTTCGGGTTTCGGAGATTTGACTAACTTCGGCCTTGGATGTGGGGAGCTTATAGAAAACCCGAGCTACAGAAAGCCATGCAATTAGACCCACAATTTCGGTCCTTTGTAGTGTAGTAAAACCCTCAACTCCGATGATTCGAAGCCCAAGCCTTCCAAAGACTAATGTCCCTGGACCCAAAAGTTATCAAGAACAGTCCCTCGACCCTTTGCAAGACCACTCCCTGAATCACACAAAGACCGAAGTCCTGCTGATTATATCCCTTATCCCGATAACCCAAGAAGACCAGAATTTTAATATCAAGCTTGGGGCTTGGAACCCTATAAACCAAAGGGTACTTCCAGGATTCTTCGGTGGTGTGGTGTGTTTCGGGATTTTTACTGGGGCTACGCGCTTCGAGTTGCGGTGTGTCTACGATGTCGGGGTATCCTTGAACCCTACTGCAATTAAGTATCATCTCATGCCTGATTTGAATCCTGCACGCCCGATAAACCCTCTAGGACCCATAGGACTCCAAACCCCTATAGGAACCCCAGGCCCTAAACCCCGAAGTCTAAACCCCTCACGCTGAAACACTGCAATGAAGGCCTTCGAAACCCCAGACAGCTTTACTCTATACTTTCTGCACCACAATAACCCCAGAAGCCCCATCCTCCTGAAATAACAACTTTCTGCACCACTAATATACCCTAGAAGCTCCATCCTCGTGAAAATAACCACAACATAATGGATTTCTACCCAATATAGCGTCCATCTCTCCTTAAACCTATTAGTGCAAATGGTTTTCAATCCACCAGATGTCCCGGCCTTCCTAGGATACAAAGATACACTATCTTGGAGCTATTTCTGCACAAAGTCCTTGTATCGGGATGGGTTTAAGGGCACTGGGTATGCTTTATGTTCGATTGTTGATGTCGACCCTTAATATATCCATCCTAAAACCCCAAACCCCTAAACCCTGTAAACCCTAGCCCCCTTAAACCCTAAACCCCCAAACCCTAAACCCCTCCATCGCCTCATAGCAGGATATATACAGTATATTATTCGAAAGGAACTTCTAGGCTATAGCCTAGAAGCTCCTTTCTTCTTTTTGTAGTATTGGTAATGAACCTCACCTTCTTGGGCACCTGAGCGTCAAAGGCTTGTTGTGGGTTAGGAGAGAGGCAGGGTTTGGTAATGAAGTTCACCTTCTTGGGCACCTGAGTGCCAAAGGCTTGTTGTGGAACAGCGGAGGGATAGGAGGGAGGCAGGGTTTGGTAATGAAGTTCACCTTCTTGGGCACCTGAGTGCCAAAGGCTTGTTGTGGAACAGCACTTTAGGAGGGATAGGAGGCAGGCAGGGCTTGGTAATGAAGTTCACCTTCTTGGGCACTTGAGTGCCAAAGGCTTGTTGTGGAACAGCACTTTAAAAGGGAGGAATCAGGATATATTCAACTTCTTAAATTCCCTTTGTCAGGAGGGATTTAGGGTCTATTCAAAAACACAAAACCCCTTTGTCAGGAGGGATTTAGGGTCTATTCAAACACACAAAACCCCTTTGTCAGGAGGGATTTAGGGTCCATTGAAAGTGTTAAGTAGCATGGGTTTCTTGTGCTAATCCCCTATGTCCGCTGGGATTTAAGGGCCCCCGGCTTGCTACCCAAGTTTAGGCGCAAACGCCATAATTCAAGAATTACCCGTTCGGTTGTTGTTTTACCCGTTCGTGAGCTTGCTTGATCGGGTGTTTCGCTTTTTTAGGTACAGGTGTTGTTTTTTGCAGCCCCCAAGGGCCGCAGGTATTACTATTTCTCTACTGCCACTACCCACGCACTGCCGCCGCCATTGCGACCAGCACTGCCATGATCGCAACTGCTTCTTCTTATCTTGCGCATCTACCGGTGGCTTCAACATGATTTGTTCGGATGTTGCCGGGGCTTCTTGTAGCAGCAACCTGCGGCAACAAGCATCAAAAACGCGGCATAAAGGCTTGTGATCATGACCCTACCTTCTGGAGGATTTCGTGTTGGACGATACCGTCGTTGAGTTCCAGCCCAACGACACAAGCGCCTCATTGTCCATACCGTTGCACCTCCAGGCAAAGTACAGAGCCACCCAGCATCCTTGTTGCAAGAGCATTCGCATACCCAGAGTCTAGGGTTTGGGGCTTCGTGCGGCATCAAAAGACAAGTCCCTAGAAACGAGGAGACAGACTTCCCGAAGTTTAATAGCTGCTGCTGCTGCTGCTGGTCCGCCTCCGCTCTCCATCTGCACGACAGCATATCAGAGCCTCTCTGGAACATGGACATTCAGGTGCCCTTGCAGGGACCCTCAAGCTCAGACTAATCACGGCTCATGCCCTGAATGTTTAGCAGGGAGAGCTTCCTGCTCGCAATCCCTGGATCGTCCACCTGAACGATCCAGAGCTTGCGGTGTGGTAATCCTACAGTAAGCTTTTGTTGCAACCCTTACAGTAGCAGTCATAACTAAGCTGTATGGTAGCCCCAATAGGCGGCAGAGCCGCCAACTTCTTTGGAAGGAGTCCTGAACGATGCAACTCCGTTGGTTTAAGCCAGGTGAGTTGTTTACCAATCTCTCAAACTCCACAGGACAGAGTGAGAGTGTTGCAGAGACTAAGACCAGTAGCCACGGTTCTCTTCCGATAAACTCACTGAAATACACGTACAGTTCCATCGCCAGCCTCTCCCTCAAGCCCTTTACTGGCTCCCGTTGTTCTAAGTCTTTGCTCTAGCGGTCTGTTTGCATCTCTTGGCCGGTCTGCAGGCCTGCCATGAGCGGGTGCAAACATGCCCGTGTATGCTCACATGACCTCTACCCATATGCATGTCGACATCTAGCTCTATCCAACAAGACCTCCATTCGTGCCGAGTATATCGAGGTAGATTGACAATCTGACTCCGCTAACTATCACCATGTATTTGAAAGTACCTCTGTGCATGTTTGCCTGCGTCTCTGTCAATGCTTTTGTAGGTATGTATACATGCATGCATGTATGTATGTATGAATGTAATGTACATATGGAAGCAAACGCAAACGCATATCAACTTATGCAAATGTAAGTACATGCACATGCTTGTCTGTGTATGTTCGCATGTACATATGTATGTATGCATGCATATATGTATGGATGCATGTATGTATGTGTGTATGTATGTGCATATGTGTGTATGTATGCATGCATGCACGGGTGGATGGACGTATATATGTATAGTGTATTTGAGCTGGTGTACGAATGCACGTATGTATAATAATGTATATTTTATTATATTATATATATATGTGCATGCATGTGTGTGTGTATGTATGTATGTATGTATGTATGTATGTATGTATGTATGTGTATATGTGTATGTATGTGTATGTATGTGTACGTATGTGTATGTCTGTATCTGTACATGTGTATGTGTATGTGTATGTGTATCTGTATCTGTACATGTGTATGTGTATGTGTATGTGTATGTGTATGTGTATGTGTATGTATGTACGTACGTAGGTACGTACGCACATAGGTAGGTAGGGTCGGTAGGTAGGTAGGTAGGTAGGTAGGTAGGTAGGTAGGCATGTATGTATGTATGTTGGTGTACATATGTATATGCATACATGCATGCATGCATGTTCGCACCTTGCACGCACGCATGCATGCACGTACGCATGCACGCACGCAC